CTGCCTGATAGTAGAATTCAAAACTCGCCCAAAATTAAAACCTTTACGTTGCACATTACAGTGGCGGATTTGCTACAGTGTTGCAACAGTGTTAATGCGTAGAACATGTCCCCTCTTTTATAGACCATACATGTTCAAAATGATATGACTTTATCACGTTTTCAAAAGAATTGAGTGTTGGAAGACCAGATACAAGAAGATTTAGCAACTTCTGTGCATCTCACTCAAAGTAAAACTCGCTTTTACGCTTTCAACGGGCTCTTCCAGTATTAAAAAATGGTATTCTAGTTCAATGTATTTCCATAAACAAAGGTTATGCATAGTAATTTTCAAAATTAGCTCAAATGTTCAGAAAAACCACTCATTTCTCAGACTATCGCCTGCAGCCGTAGCCAGTTAAATTTTGAGGTCATATACTTGCTTTTCACCTGTGATTCTACTTGGCGACGGCATCCAGCCACTTGCTCTACTAACATAGCTTTTCCAAAACTCTCTCCCAAAGCTGCGTCATAGAAGAATTTTTCAAGGTTTACCCACTCATTCATTCTTAACAGCTTAATAACCGCTTCTTTTCATTCCCCTCACTGATGTTATTTAAAGCGGAGTGGTAGGAGGAAACAGAGGTAGATCACTCTCTTTAAATTATGAAATCAAAGCGCTTACAGTGATGTAATAAATGTAAAGCTTAACGCTTTCACATGCTACGCGAGATTATACTGATGGCAGGGCACGATCTGAAGTGGAACAGCAGTCTTAGCATTACTGGAGGGCAGGCTGGGTGTCGTGCGTTAGATACCGGTGCTTTTTCGGGCGGGAGCGTGCCAGACAGTTGGATCTGCGGTTGTCAATGTAATCCAGCGAGATCGAGCTTGATGCCGAGCTTATCTCAGGCCTCGCCCACTTCCTGCTTTTACGACGGCTACGTCTATTGCTGCCGCTATCTCAGCGCCGGCGAGGAATTGTGATTCGGCGTTTCCTCGTCAAAAAAACTTAATTTTATTAAACCCCAAACATGGAATGATTAGAAATAGATGTGCCAATGTTCTTAGCAGCACAATAAGATCAATAGTATTTCTCCGTCAACAACCAATTGTTGGCGGTATAAAGGTCAGTTATTTTGAGGCATACACACCAGCTCCATATTAAATAGGAATTATGCGAGTTGAAACAGA